ATCTCTCACAGTCTTCTGTCTCATTCACTTACTCACTTTTTATATTATGAGATTTAAAGAAAAACTTTTCGTTTTTTTAATTTCCTTTTATACAAACCTTTTTCTGGCAATAACGAACACAATTTTTTTTAATAGGATTATCCAAGTCGTGTATAGATTATGTGCGTACTTACATTCCGGCAATTCATTTTAATTTATATCCAAGATAGAAGATGTAAGGTAAGATATTATAATAGTGATGACTGACTTTATTGGGCTGTGATTGTTGTCGTTCACCAAGGTTTTTTTCTCATAAAAAAACCTTGGTGGCCTTGTATAACACACCGGAAAAATATTGTGTGATGAGCACGATCGTTTGTTCTGTATTTGGTCGCAATTTATCTATAATGTATTTGTATTAGGTTTGCCCCCTATTAGTTTCACCTTTGGATTTAACCTACCCTAGATATAGGGAGGGGAGGGGGGTTGAGCTTCTGGTAAACTCACTCACTCGGTGAAAGCAAAAAAATAATTGCTTAACTTGTCGTCCATTTGTCATGATTGTTTTTCTTATTGTCTCTCATGGCAAAATAATATCGGTTTTATTCATACTTTTTGTATTTATTTATTAGCTTCTTGGTACAAAAACATTATTATTCATCATAGTTTTTAGTTTTCCATAAAAAAATGTAAAGAATTAAGGCACTTCAAAATTCTAACTACTACCTCTGTTATAATTAGTTTAATTGTTCGTACTCACTCACTTAGTTACATTAATAAACTCCATTATGAACAAAACGACATCTGTATTCGAACAAAAGACATAAAAGAAATAAAATAAGTGCAGCGGTGCTTTTAATTAATATCTTATAGCATTGTTCTGTTCCCTGTCTACATAAACCCTCTTTAATCAACGTCTTTCACATTTACCAGACACGCAAAACCTACTAGATTATCACAATGAATTAAATGGGAAGGAACAAAAACTACGTAATAAAGTCCCGAGGGTGAGCAACATAATATTTTTAATATGACAAAGTTAAAGTGTCTCGGTCTACCGTCGGCCCTCACTTCACAAAGTTTCATACGGAGAACTCCACAAAAGATTTTCATTAAGAAAATTCATCAACGCTTACGTTATGCGTACACTGAAGTACTCATAATTCATGAAAACACGCGGAAGTGCAGTAAAAATAAAACTTTTGTCACACGCAACGGTTTTATACTACTATACGTCGTTCTGTGAATTGTGAATTTCATAATACAGTATCTAGTGAGTGAATAAGTATCTACTGGTTGTAGAGATATTACAGAACGAGTGAATACTACGATCATTTAACTCAACGATTTTTTACACATATTTTGATACAGATGAGTTTTAACTTTAAATACTTTTTTCTTTGAAACTTTATTAAAGGTATACTCAGAGCACAAAATGCGAATGCGAATTTCCACTTTATGCGAGCAGTTGTCGATGTTTATAAAGTCAAACGTTATCGAATCCAACCATTACACAGAAAGTCTGTGTTGCACCCTGTGAGACGCACATAACAATGCCAGTTCTGCAAGGTTCTTTTGTACGGTTAAGGTTAAGGTTACTTCAATCAGATAGCTTATAATAATATCATCAAGATTTTATTTTTCAAAATTATTACAGTACAGTATACAGTGTTGGAAAATTGATTTCAATCCTAATTGTTATGAGTACACTATACCTAATGAAAACAAAGACATAGTTTCTTAAATACGATTACAGCGCTACCATATACATTTATGGATATAATTGTGAATGTAAACGATCTAGGGATACAATATAGCCTCACAAATAATGATTCGTCAAAAATGAAATGGTTCTTGGAACTCAATTCTAGAGCACCGCTCTCTTCATGAAAACTAATCACCCAACTCCAATAGACACAAAGAGTTTTTCGTTAAAAAAATTTAGAATTCCTAAATCTGATTGCAGCGCCACCTAATGTATATGATGCCAGAACTAAATCATTTTGAAGCTTAGTGAGAAACACACATTGAGGGAAAAATGCTATCTAAATATATCTTCCGCGTTATTTTTTCTAAAAAATCTTTTACATTAATCTCTGCTTTTCATCTACGAAAACAAGAAAATGAAAACAGCCAAATTGATAAATGCTTATTCTACGCTGCGCTACGATTTATTGTGAAAATCGTACCGATAAAACCTAACACATGGATAACTAGGAGATAGAGGATCAAAAAGCTGTATAGTTTCACTTTTAATACCAAACCGGTAAAATTTAAAATTTGAAAACGTTTCGAACAAAGGCTAGATTGCAACGGCTTAATCACATCAGGGAGTTGTATATCCGAGAGCAAATTGCATTTGGCGCGTCCAGCACGTGCGACTTGAATTATTACCGGTATGACTTCAAACCGGTTTATGACGACGGCAACTACTAAATTGCAAACACAAACTGTATTTTTGTCGTGCTTTTTCTTTGTTCACTATTGTCAATATATTGTTTTATTGTAGTTCTTGAAAAGAACCGTAACTTTTATATATGCGAACATTTAAATTAGTGACTTGCGTCCCTCACGGACTTAACGTTAACTTAAGTTAGTAAGGATAATTAGCTATAGAAATGTTAAAAATAAAGTGTATTAAATGTACGTAGTAAAATATAAATAACATGTTTTTATAATACGTGCCAAATTGTGGATGGGAAAAATAAATATAGGTATGTAATATACTTACCTATATTTAATTTTAACTATCTGCCTCAATTGAGACAGAAATTTAAATATAAGTAGATCACAATATATTTATATTTAACTATATTTCTATAACTTTTTATCCTTACTGACTTTTACGAGTAATCCTTAACATAGGTATATCGATACTTTGCAACGGTGTTATCGGTGATTTTATAATCTGTAGTGAAATTGATACCAAAATATTACTCAAGTATAGCTCTTTCCAGTCCCTGTTTACCTTAGTCAAAGCATAAAAAAATATTTCAGTAAAATTTAATTGTATGCGGTTGCAACATAAACAATAACACATATCTTTAATTGACCTAGATGCAAAATGTATAGCGAATCAAGAGTTACGTATCTTTTAGATTCAGCATTTTCACTTTGCTTGTACTGCTTCATAGGTTCCCATTTATAAAAAAGTTTGTAATGTAACAGTTTTAATAGAGTGAATATAGAGACAAGGGCTGACAAGAGTACGTGAACATTTTATGTATAGATTTTAAAATGTATTTCGCGAACTAAGAAGCATACAATTTGAAATAATTTAGTTTTAATTTAACCAATATTTGTTACACATTTAAAAGCATTAAACTACACACTTTTAATCTGTGTGGCCTATCATGAAAGGCTATACAACGTATATAGGTGTTCAGATTTTTTGCACTACTTTCTGAAGACGACGACCATTGATTTCTTGAAGGAACGTTTATACTCGTAATATGCCTATGCCTAATCGGACCTTGGAATCTATAAGTATTAGTTTTTATTATCAGCTGTCTGTTGTTGTAAAAACTGTATGAATGCGTAAATTTCATTCAAAAGAAAGTGAATTCCTACTGCTTATCAAGTTTCTTACTAAAGTTGCCTCTGTACTGTCCAAAATTAATATAATTTTTTTCACGGCGTTCTTAACTATTGATCTACCATTCTGTAGTAAAGGGAAGCCTCCAGAATTGGAGACACCTTCTGGGCCTACAAATTACGAATACCCCGAGCATCACAACTATAACCATACGCTATTTCATACACAGGGTAACGTTTATTATTTGCATAGTTTATAATTCTAAAAGAAAAAAGAGTGAGAATTTTGGAAAAGCTTAGCGTACATGTATAATTTAATTAATATTGTAAACATGTAAGACTATGTAAACAAAATATTGAATTTTCCTAAAAACAACAATGGAACATGTTAATCATTTAAATACTTCTTATGTCGAGGTTTGAAACATACTACATAAATTACTGTCAAATATCTTAACATCAATTTGCTGTATTAATTACGATAAAAATTGTTTCAATAGTACTGCACTGTATCTGGCCGTTGTAGTCCATACTAGACACATTTTAATCAACATCATTATAACAGTGTCTGTGTCGTTAAAACATGCTTATGAATAAAAGGATCTCGAAATATGAGATACAGTCTTAGTTCCGAGTGGGAACATTCGCAAATATAATTTCCGTGACATTCACAGGCAGCAGAATATGTAATCAGAAATTATTCAAGTGTATAAGCGTGTATGTTGTCGTCTAAGTTGTTCAACTTTATGGAACAGTGTAGAGGAAAATGAGACATGTCAAGGAACAAAATTGGGCTTGTAATGTGTGTACGTAGATTAAGTGACAAACAAAATTTCCGGTGTTGGATTACTTTTCTAAATCTTAAATAACTTTCAGAGGTACGTCTAAGACATTTTTTAACATCTTATTACAATAAATTACAACAAAGGCTAAGAAAGTGACTATTGATCAGGCTGACCAATATCTTAGTATATAATATAAATACAATTTGTCATGTTATTCATTCATAAGATTCTACAAATAGTAAACAAAGATAAAACGAATAAAATATTTTAAATTTTACATTAAAATTAGTTAGTTCGCCTACATTTGTCATAATTATAATAACTTAAAGAAAGTATGCAATTATAAACTGAAAACGAAACCGGGCCCAACTCTATTATTGTATATGGAAACATGTCTTTACTTTGACTAACTATCCTAAAGTTTCTCATCGTTCAATACCTTATATATTTGTGTGAAATGATTTTTCATCACAAACCTTATCACGCAAAAGATAAAGCAGTATTGTATTTATAAAAGAAATATACGTTCAGACCAGATTTACTAGCGTAGAAAGTAGGTTACAGTAGTAAATTGGGCTACTAACATGTATTAGAATATCATAAGAAAACAACACAAAAATGTAGGGATGTATTTAAAACGGTTCTCTTTTTCTCTAAAATTATAATAACATACTATTAATGACTATGCACTTACACTTGTTTTCATTTATATTTACTTTTGGCACCACGGCTATGAGACCCAGATGGCTCGTCTTTTTCTAATAGTTCTTCATCAATAAGCAAATCAAAATTACCTAAAGCTTCGGTATTAGGCAATTTATTCCAGCGCACATCTGGCACGCCATCAGGAGGAAGGACTACAGATATAATGTTGTCTATTAGCTTATATTTCAATATTCTGTCATTGACCGTGGTAGACGTTAAAGAAGGAGAGGCATTGACTTCTACCAACCAAGGCTTCAACTGATTATCAATTATAATGTCATAGCCATAGCACTCAAAACAATGTCTATCATTAGCCATCACAGAAGAAACGGCTTTTAAAGAATGTACTATAAGCCACTGCATAGCCGCAAACAATTTATCTGTCACCGCCCTACCTTTAGTACCTTCTAAATATAATTTTAAATTCTGCACAGTCATTTTACCACCGTGAATATTATTATAATCGCCTCCATGCTTTTGTACACTAACATTTGTAAGATGCACGTACATATTATCTAACTCCGTTACACTTGTGTCGTATTTTACTGTACAAAATCTACAAAAACCAAGTTGAAACAGATAAGCTTTCAGAGGTCGGAAAGATGTAACTAACACATAAAGTCTCAGATCAAACTTTTTGCCCCCTATTAGTAAGGGATTGTCTATATAACGTGAAATAACGTAACTTTCCTTTGTAAGTTGCGGATGGAATGGTGTTTTTGCCTCACGAGACCATTTCTTCAGTTTAGATAGTTTGTTTATAAGGAAAATGCCGGTTCCTTGAGATTTCCCACACGGTTTCATGATCCAAGTACTTTGGGGTGATTTACGATATTCTTCGACAAACATGTTGTAGTCAGCTGGAAGGACGAACGTAACTGGTACAAAATCGAGATGAACATATCGCGTCACAATTTGACCTCCATGTAATGCGACCTCTGCCTTTTCAGCGAGCGGGTTGCCCTCCCTTTCAAGTTCCTTTCGATAACGTTTTATATTTTTCACTAACAAGTCTTTTCGGGACAACTCGTAATGGTTTGGAAAGTGATTTATCATTTGGTTGTCATTCATTCGATATCCGCTTTCGACACTGAATAAGTTTCTGCACGTCTGCGTAGATGCCCAGTAGAAGTTCCATTCATCGTCCGGCCCAACTTGGTTCCACCCACGCCGCTCAAAGTTGCTCATCAAAACTGACTTTTCCAAGTCTGTGCAAAAGTTAACGCGACATCTTTCGACAACTGGCGCGTTGACTCGTCCATAAAGGTTATTTGTTATTTTCTTTGCTTCTTGATTCATGGTTAAAGTAATTTCGTTTTATCAGGAATATTTGTTACATTTAACATTATTTGTAAAACAGGTGCCTATTCATCGTTGTCATGGGTTCCGACAAACATCATCCGGTATTGGCCGACATCCAATCCAACTCGTTTTGCTATGACTACGTGTAAACATTGCCGCCAAGTATTGATTTTTAACAAGTCCGGGCTCATAGAAGGCTTACGTGCAACTTTTATATTAGGGAAAAATAAAAGCGGTAATCTTTGCTGGGAGTAAGAAAATTCTTTACTAAGTAATAATCCAGCTCACATATATTACAGGCATTAGGAGAAAACGTACATATTGTTTAGAAAGTAGACGTATCTTATAATACTATTAAATTATGTAATTACCAAGTTAAATTTATTTAGATTTTGTTTTGTAGGATTTATGGTCGAACGTTCTTAGTGAGTTGTGGATTTAAGACCTCTCTCTTACTTACATGTAATCTGATATTTCTATTTTTGAATACGGATGACCAAATTGTTTTTCATATACAGTCTCGGATTTTATCATACACAGTAGTTTCCATAAAAATGAAGTATATTTGTTCGTACTTCCAAATATTTACCGGGAGCGGGAATTGATCTCGGAGTAAAAAGTTTGATAAAAAAAGAACCGGTTGCTCTAATTCAAAATTTTGTTTCTTTATTATTGTTTTTACATGACGAGTGATAAAGTATTTCTCTGATCCATGTTAAAACTACAGTTTTGTACAGAGATACCTTAAACTGGCTATGATATTGCGAGATTTTCCAACAAAAGTCAGTTCGAGTAACAGCTATGAGAGCCTGACCTGACTATGACTATCTTGGCTTAAGTACATTCCCCAATCCATCCTTATAAGTAGAAACTGCTTCCTGTCATTGCCCTCCGCTATTAGCTGTTATTTGAGAAACTCCCGGGGTTCTCATCTGATTCCTAGAGTGGTTGGTTGTTATAATAATATTAATAATAATAATAATATATTTATTTGCAGAAAATGTGGTAGTCACAGTAGGTGGTTTACAATGTTTAAAGCACAAGACACATTTCGCTATATTTAGATAGCATGCAAATTTTTAAAATTGTACAGGTAAAATAATGAAATAAAATAAAAATAAAATTACATTACATTGCAATTGAAATATCGAAAATCATATTAAAAATAATTACTACACTAATGCATTTCTGAAGTGATATGACTGAGTAGAGTACTTTTTAAAAAAATCATTGACGGAGTAAAAGCACTCTGCTATTAGCCAATTTTTTAATGAAGTACAAAATCTGTGATAAGGAAGAGTTGCAATATTCTCCGGCAATGCTTGACAGAAATTATTTTATTTTATTTTTATATTTGAAGCAAACTTACATATAGAAGTACAATTAATTTAAGACTAATAGGCGAAGGCTTATAAAAAGTTTTCACTTCTAGAAAAAAAGACAACTCTGAACATAGTAGGATAACAGAAAAGTATTATTATATATGTAATTGGTTTGTTATGCTTGGTCGAAGAAAACGTTGCCCAGTTGTTTTTTTTTATTTAGTAGAGAATATGTCGATATCAACACTCCGGCATTATACTCGCTCTGATCATGTATGAGTTTTGCCTGTAGTTAGAAACTTCAACGTTAACATGCAACAAGTTAAATCGTCGAAGATGCGCTGTCGGGACATTTAAAGCCATTTTGCTCACCAGTTCTGAAGAGTCGATCGTACCTCCCATGATGCCAAATAAAAACGACAGATCCGCTATTTTCTTCTCTCAATGAGTAGAAGAATATGAAGTTTTTTACATCGGCTCATGTAATCAGGTAAATAGCTAATAGTCATTTAAATTCTACCCCTTTGAGAATATAAGCTTGAGTGTATATATGTATGTATCCAACTTATGAATACATAAACTGTTTTGTTATTAAAACATCAATTATTAAACAAGAGACCTAATATGTTCAATCAATTTTAAAATAACGCTGGCTTGTGCTGTATAATCAGATATTCATTAAAACCTCCACAGAGAAATCCCGCACATCGCTCGTAAAATATTTTTCAATCTTGAGATTCAATTTAACCGTTCAAAATAACAGTTCCCTCAGTTCATTTATTTTGCATCCACATATTTTATCTATAAATGGTATAAATATATTTATAAGGTTGAAATGAAATTGTAAATCAATTTTATTTCAACCTAATCATACACCACATCGTATTTTGGATTTGGAAACAGTTTCTATGTAAAACAATGTAAAAATATAAATGTTTAGTATCACGTCTTAACTCAATATGTGTCTTTTATTAAACAAGGATTTTTTTTCCAATGACATTTAGGACTACTTAGGACGAAAGCACTACATAAGTTTAACCATAACCATCAGTTATTGATTAGTAATCAATAATTAATGGTTACTACTGCTACTACTACTAACTAATCAATGATTACAAAATTCACATATACAAATGCAATTAGCATTTCCCTGCGATTTCGCTGTTAATTTGAATACTGGTAGTAAATAAACACATATTTATAGATTTCTATAGGATTTCGTCTTAAACACAAAAGGGTAGTTTAATGTTTAGTACAATAAAACAAACTGCTAGACACTCCACATTAAATAGCCAGTTGACATCCATACATAGCCTTATAATATATTGCACAAACACTATTCCAAGATCTCGGATCACATATCTTTTGTAGGGCCATGAAATCAGCTTTATCATTAACGTCACAGAAAAGAGGAAATATGTGTGGAATAGATTTTCACCGACCGCTTAGGAACCCAGAACGATTCGTCTATGCCAACGAAACCGATTTTTATTTACCAAAAGTCACCAAAATTCATATCAGGAGTTTCACAAGTTTGAGTTGAGAGATAAAATATATAGATAACATACAGAGCTGTAGTCGTTAATTGGAAAGTAATACCCATATGTCGTAATAAAATTATTCATTGAGAAAAAAGCTAAACAAGTACAAGTGTGTGTGCGCGCGCAGAAGCGGTTCCGTACAAACTTGTATATATATTATGTAAATAAAAAACAAAAAATCGATTCTCGGAGTTAATTTGGCTATTTTTCAGAAGATATTTGTAGGACAATTTCAATTCATGTAGTCCGCATCCGTGTGTCCTCAAAGTTAGATTATAATCCCAAAATAAATAAATTAATACGTATTATTATATATTATATACCTTGCGTCTCCCCGATTTTCATAATTCTAGGCAATAACTTTTAATTTACCTTCGGAAGTAGATAAAACTAGAAATATAAACCCATTTCAGCCATATCTCTTGGTTGCGCTGACTTGTAATCTTATTCTTTGAAAGTTCCAAGGGTGCGCCAGACATAAGTATTTGATGCGCCTGTGCGTGCCCGAACTTTAGCAAACTACGATCGGGAAACAAGCGCTGAACGTTCGTAACGTTTGGCTGCACAGAATTCCTGAACGTTGGCGAACCGAGAACGGGAATCAAGCGCTGAACGTTCCCACCGATTAGTTCAACAAAATGCAAGATCTCAGCAATGAATAGAACTCGCGGGCAGGACAACTTATTGAATTCTGCTTTTGCTTATGACTTTAACCTTAACTACTTTGTACTAAATAATGTTAATATTGTTAGAATAGATAAAATATGCAACCAATGCCAAGCAAAGAAGTGAAAGGCTGAAGCTCCTGGTCTATGTGGTAGTGGTGGCAAAATAAAATATACCTAAAATTCCCGAACCAACATCACTTTTAAAAGAACTGATATCAGGATTACATCCTTCATCAAAACATTTCTTAAACCATTCAAGGCAATATAATATACTTTTTCCGATGACTTCATTTGGTGTCAAAGAAATTCGAGAGGGGAACTTTATGCCTACATTTAAAGTGTAGGATCAAGTTTAACATTTGATCGGTAAGTAAATTACCTGGCCGGATCGGTAAGTAAATTTATTAATTAAGTAAATTGCCGGCTGAAGATGCACAACCAGAGTTTTTGCAAATATATTTTATTTCTCATGCAGGTCAGGTATCCTTGCATTCAAATTTAAACCTGACCGTAAATTGATCTTATCGATACGCTACAAAAATATCTTCTCGAAATTAATACGTATATTCAAAGTTTTAAATACAATCTCGAAAACAGACCAGTGAGTGATTTAAAACTCATCATCCATGCTGATGTAAAACCTGCCAACGATTATAGAGGTCGATATAAGATGCCAATAGTAGACGAAGGAGCTGTTTTTTTTGATAGACGAGGATAATGCTCCCCGAGAGATGGTCAACTTTAACGAGTTTCTAACCTTTACAGATCTTATGACCCACTTCAATATCAATGGCAATGACGGGTTCTGCATAATCATTCCACAACAGAATGGTGCTGCTAGATCTAAAACTGTATCATGTATGCAGTTTTATGCCTTTAGACTCATGGTGAGAATAGATTATTTTAACAGCTTACATTATTTTAAAGGATTATTTAACCAATATTGTGTTATTGTGGCAAAAATCTGTGAGGCTTGATTACATAAAAAAAACAGAAAAAATTGAGGGCTGAAGAATACATCCATTTAAGAGATGACCTGATCAATGATGGCAATATAGACGCTTCTAATATTGACCAGCATGTTATATTGCCATCGTTATATTTACAGGATCTCCAATATACATGAACGAAAAAAGGCAAGATGCTAAATGGTCAAAAGTAAAAAAACAGTTATTACTCGATCAAAAATCTACATGATTTGGTTTCCAAAGTATTTCATTTAAAACTAAAGAAATTTATAGACCTATTGACAAAGAAACATATCTTTGGACCAACTCAAGCTTTTGTTTACAGTGTTGAGTGGCAAAAAAGAGGTTAACCCATATTTTATTATGGCTAGCAAACAAAGTACAACCCGATTCTATAGATGAAATAATATGGGCTGACATACCTGACAAACAACAAGATCCCATACTTCATAATATCGTCATAAAAAATATACATAGTCCCTGTGGATTTCATGACCC